CTGGTTGCGGATCAGTCCCAGTTGTTACTGCGACACACCTTCCAATAACGCAGCCGATTCTAGTGCTCTCGGATCCGAGATGTTATGCCAAATTGGAACTGTCGAGTTTGTTCCAGATTGTTTGCCACTCGGTTTCTTTCTGAGGGTATGTTTTTTGCTGGAAGAAGAGTTAACATAACACAGCATAAGCAAAAGTGATGTGTTGACTGGAGAGAAGTCGGCGAGGCTGGTTAGCTGTCTGGTGTGTGTCATCATCGCGTTTCGCTATACAGAGAAGAGCTATGGGACTCTTCTGTAGTGAGGCTGACTACGACATTTCCTTACACGAAGGCTGCCAATCCTGACTCAACAGCCTTCTGCAGCAATTGACAGTAGTTAGGAGTGGTAACAGCATCCTCGGTGTACCCGAAAGTGTGATGAAATGTCTCCTTCTGTATACCCAAATTATACAGAGGACAGCAAGACTGCACCCCTTGTATTCAGTCCATCTCAGATAATCAGCTGAATCGCTGCCCAGTTTCTGTCGGGTTTCACCGGGTGGCTTCTAGCTGCCGTTGGCACAGTATTAGTGCCCGTAGCTTCAGCGCATATCCCCCGCTTTTGTTCTTGCTGTACTCACGAGATCGGATGTTATCAGTCCCTCGCAAGCCCCTGCATTGTCTCCTGTTGCGGCTTTTACGGACGACCTTAAGGAATCGACAAGGATGTCATCCTCTGCGACTACACTGATGCGAACAGGGAGTTTTCCATTACGGGTCAAATTGGCACTCAAGTAGACATCAGCATCGAACAGAGATCCACGACGAGATAATCAACAGCCGGTTCAGGCTTGGTCTCATTCGCAGCTATGCAGTTGACGGCTTGAGAACGTGCAACATGGGGGGAAATAGAAAGAAGATGATAACGTATAAGGGGTTGCATAATCACCGGCGTGCACATCTTCTACCGTAAGTTTTGTATGTTGGAGTGCTCGCCTCAGTTTGAAGCCCGCAGAGTGCGACGAGGCAAACGGCTGCAGTCGTTTTGTAAAGGGGAGTCACCGATTTGGATTTATTTAGCTTGTCTTTCTATTCGAGTCCTCGTGTGCACCGGAGAACCATCAGATTTGTGCCAGGCCCGCCTCTAGGGGGGCTACCGGCTCACAGCTAGGCGACAAGCTCGACGAGCCCAGGCTTCTCCTTGCTTGTCATTCACACTCCATGTTCATTTTGTCTTATTACTCTTCTCTTTATAGCCCGTTTAATTGTTTTGTTCGGTTTCTAGTCTGTTATTTTTGACTATGGGACCCATTTTCAAGGGAGCAGCTGTTGTTTGCCTCGCGGCGCTCTCTGGGCTACAGCCGGCGGCAGGAGATTTGCAATTCAACGTCGAAACAGCTGACAAAGGTATGCAGATATGCTTTTATCTTCTTGATTTGAGTATTTCTTCCTGTTCCTTCAAAAAATAAGTAAACTGCATTGCGTTGATCCTATACACCTGCCAGGGAATGGGCGCTCATCGGTTCTTCTGATTCCAGGCAAGCATCTGTTGCTTGGAGATGCATACACCTCCTTGAACTTGGCCCGTGTTGGTCACATGTCTGTACGGATTGGCATATTGACGGAGAACAGCGAACTGGCTGAAGGTCTAAAGGATGCATTCACGCCGGCGGCATATGCAGCGCCAGCCAATACGTGTGAGGGAGCCATCGCAGAACTCGTGAGTAAATCGACAGTCTAAATGCTCGACTAGCGGCCGTAAATACGCTTGTATACGTTTATGGACTCCTTTCGCTTCTTTTTGAATTTTCAGAAGAAGACAAAATTTACCGCAAAGCTCACAGAATCTGGAGACCAAAAATATCGCCAAGCTGTGCAGAAAGCTCTTGAAGCTGGACTTAAGTGAGTGCATCTTTACTCCCTGCAGCACAACACCAACACGGAAGCAAGTATATAATCTAATTCCACATGAAATCTAATTCCACAGGAAATGACACTTCTGTGCCGTAGTTTTTTGCCTTGTGTGATATTGTATGCATTAGTTTAATGCTGAGAAGAGAAGATAATGTGACAAACAGTTCTCCATAATCATAGCAGCCATACTCTCATACACCTCGTGCCCGACACAGACCCGCTTCATCTTCATCATCATCGCTGATCCAATTGACTTCAATACTAATTCTGCATGGTATTGTTATGTCGACTGCTGCTCTTCCCTCAGTGAGCTGCAGTCGTACCCTGATAGTGAAGAGAAGTGGAGGGAGTTCTGGGAGAATGCCGACGGCGCCAACCTCGCACACCTTCTTTGGACTAACAGTACCGGAGTTGGCTGTGCCGTAGGAACATGCACTCAAGGAGGAGACCAGAATCGAACTGCAGGAACAAGTATCGCATTTCTTTTTTGTGAGATGAAGCCTGCAGCGGTGGAGAACAAGGCTCCCTTCGAGTAAGTGTTGAGTGAGGGGGCTAAATCAAGGAGAGGGCTGGATACAGCACAACTTCTGCTTCTGCAATTAGACTGTCTGCTTCCTCATGTCTTGGTTTTGCGTTGCAGCAAGGAGTATTACGAAGCGCTCACTGAACGAAAAACACCATTGACACAAATGACTGAGGAGGACCTCAAAGTTCCTGTCCAGGGCGGTGCAGCTGCTGCCGTACCCTCCCTTCTTGTAGCAGGCTTAACTGCTATAGTGGCATTTGCCTCTGCATAGAGAAGCTAGACAGTGAGCTAGCCTCAGATTTTTAAGCTCAATGTCGATTTTCGCTTGACAATTGAACGTAGGAAGTTTGCCGTTTTCTTTCTGCAAGTTAATTAAAAGAGCAGCTGATTTCCCCTGCTGTTCTGTACCTTCGCTTCGCCGCGCCCACCAGCCGGTGGCAGCGGCATCGCATTCAACGGATTCTCATAATCCCCGTTGAAAACAGCGTTTATTAATTTAAAAGCAATGTACATTTATTAATTACCATTGTTTGAGTGGAATTTT